GACACGCACACCTGGTCAGAGGCCCGTGCGTGTGGGCAGCCCCAGGCCCCGCCGCACTGGCTCCGGGGAAACCGCCAGGGAACAGCTCAGGATGGTCCTTAAGGAGGGAGTGCCCGCCAAAGGCCTTGAGAAATTCTACTTTATTTCCTTAACTAACGGCCAGTAATGAGATTTTAAAAAATCTTTGGTTTTTATGTAAATGGTGTTTTTTTTTTTTTTTTTTTTGCAGTTGTTAAATTTTGTCCCTGGATTTCTCATTCGAAACAGGAAACTCTTCATCCAATTACTGGTATTATTTTATAAATGACCACCCAGACATACAATATCCCCACACAATGCCACGTAAGATAAAGATGCGTTATTTGCAGAACATTCACAAGGTTGGGTTGCCGTAGCTTTCTGGGTTCCCGGGTGAGTGCCTATAATGTATTCCATATTTGCCTGCCATTTTCCAGTATTAAACGCGTCAACATTTTACTTCGGAGTCGTAAAGTTACTGAGACAGTCCCGACGAATGGCAATAACCCAGAGAGAAGAAGAATGCATAACGCCAACTCCGCAGGAAATCAATTAACGTTTTTATGAGCAGCAGTAACAGTATGATCAGAGGTTGGCAGAGGGTGAGGTCTGGCGATTTGACCCCCTAGAATATTCTCCACTGAGTTCTGTGTGTCACTGTGTGAATGTTCTGGGCTGTGTCAGAGTGAAAGCCTCGCTGCCGAGACGGACACACTTTATGTGTCAGAATGACGAAGTTCTTGATCTGGCCGAGTGGCCTCCTGAGGGGCAAATCAACTCTAACTTTTACAGTACCCTCAGTTCCTAATGAATTTTTGTGGGTCTCTGAACTTACATACTTTCATATTCTGAATTATGTGTTTTGTGTGCAAATAAAACCCTGTATCCTATATAATAAAAGCCTAATATGCAAATCAACCAAACGGTGGAACGACCAGTCGCTATGACGCGTGCTGACCACCAGGGGGCAGACGCTCAATGCAGGAGCTGCCCCCTGGTGGTCAGTGTGCTCCCACAGGGGGTGCGCTGCTCAGCCAGAAGCTGGGCTCATGGCTGGCGAGAGCAGCGGCAGTGGTGGGAGCCTCTCCTGCCTTCGCTGCAGATGGGCGGTAAAGAGCAAGGGGTCCCAGACTGTGAGAGCCCCAGACTGTGAGAGGGATGTCTGACTGCCGGTGAGAGGGTGCAGGCCGGGCTGAGGGACGGGACCCCCCCACCCCCACCCCAGTGCACGAATCTCGTGCACCGGGCCTCTAGTGCTGTATAAGTACACGAAGGAGTTTAATATTTTCTGAAGAGGTTCTTGTTGAGGCAAGATAAGCAATTCTAAGATTCAATAAATGACCATTAATATTTGAAAATGAAGGTGATAGCGCCTTCATATTACTTCTGCATAACATTCATTCATTCATTCATTCATTCAGTGAATGATGAACCCCCACCATATGAATTTATAACGACCAGAATGTAAGCACTGAGCACAGATATATAAA